TTGGCTGGTGGCAAATATTCCTTTCCAGGCCAAGGTCCTTGAGCAAGTCCAGCTACTGCAGCTACTCTTGGATGAGACTAATTATCTAGATCCATTTTAGTCAAGGCTCACACTTCATTTTGGTACAGAAGCAGTTTTGGTTGTACTGTATGATGACCTATGTCTGGAAGAAGACAGGTGGAATGTGATCCTGTTGATATACCTGGATTTCTTGGTTCCTTTCAATAGCATCAACTGTGGTATCCTGCTAAGTGGGCATACAGTTTGCTGCATTGCAGTGGTTCTTCTCCTACTTGAATGGTCAACTTCAAAAGTGGGAAGTACTACTCAGCCTCTTTGGACTCTCCAGCATAGGCTTCTTCATGTGTTATATTGCCCCCCCCCCCATGTTGTTTAATATCTACATGAAACCATTGAGTTTCATCCAGAATTTTGGAATATACTGCCATCTATACAGTGCCACCTATATTGTCATCTATACACTGATGACTCTTTCTCTTTTTCATCTTCAGCAAGTATATTTGTGGATGTGCTAAACTGGAGTCTGGATGCAGACAATGGCCAGGGTGATTGGTAACAAACTGAAGCTCAGTCCAAACCACACTGAGATGCTGTTAGTAGGTGGTATCTCTGACCAGATGGAGGGTGTTCAATTTGTTCTGGGTGGAGCTGCACTTCTCCTGAAGGTAAAGATAGTTTGGAGGTGTTGTTGGAGGCACAGGTGACTTCAGTGGCATGAAGTATCTTTTGCCAGCCACAGTTGATGGCCCCGCTATACCCACATCTACACAGGAATAGCCTGGTTTCTGTAAGTTGTGCTATGGTAATCTATGAACTAGATTACTGTAATGCATTCTACCTGGGGTTGCCCTTGAAGATTGTTCAGTAGCTACAGCTCGTAGAAAATGTGGCAGTCAGACTGATAACCAGGATCAGAAGGCCCAAACACCAATTTGGACTTGCTTGCAATGGCTGCCTATATGCTTCTGCACTCAGTTCAAGGTGCTCATTCTAACCTATAAAGCTGTATCTGGCCTGGGGCCACAATCTACCTGGCCAGTACAGTCAAAATCGGGCACCTGCCTCTGTTTGCCACCTGTGAGTGATGCTTAGTTGGCGGCAGCAAGGAGAGCCTTCCCAGAGGTGGCACTCAAGCTGTCAAACAAGCTCCCTGTGGAGGCCTACCTGGCATCAACTCTGCTGTCTTTCTGGCACCAGGTTAAGACTGTCCTCTGTGCAGGGCATTTAATAAGCTCTAGCTTGTATATTGGGCACTGTGTCAACTTTTGTTTATGGAATGATAGGGGTTGCCACATTTTTCTTTGCCTCAAGCAGCAAAATGTCTTGGGACAATCTTCAGGAGTGGGAGAAAAAAGCTGAGACCTATGAAAGGGTGCCTCTTATGTTCATGGCAGAAACACATTTCCAGCCAGGGATCTCCCTGCACTTACACCTAGTTGCTATTCCACAACAGCTCACTAAATTGGTCACTTTACAGATCAGTGGCATTTTAAGATTAGTGTTGTCATCTCTTTTGTGTGATAGTTCAAGTCTAGGGCTACTTCTAGTTAAATGACTCTCTGGTGAAAGGGGTGGGATAAACATTAGCCTGACCCACTGAATAGCTGTTCCACATTAATATTTAATAAAGATTATTATTTAATATTTAAATATTTTATTTAACATATTTAAACAAATAGTGTTTATTATTAATAAATATTAAGCAGCCATGTATGTATTGTATTAATAGCTGAAGAAAACAGAAGTGGAGACTTGTGGAATATGCTCTTATTGATGAACTGGCTTTCTTTAAGATGACTTGTACCAGATGACTGTACATATCAGAGTGATTTGGCAAAAGTGACTTTATTTAAAAGGAGTAAAGTGTCTGTGTCCTAATGGTGGATATGTTGTCATATAGAATTCATATAGAAAAATTATGCTCAGTTTTATCCTGATTTAATGCAAAGTCTTCAGCACTGTTTTGGTTGCAGCTGAATTGGAATCTTCTTCCCACTCACATTGTTATACAGCAAACAAAAGATGCTGGAAAGTTAATGCCAAGCTGGAATAATTATTTGGCTTTTTCCCCCAAACTGAAAAAAAATGTGTTGCTTCAGGGAGGATTTATTTCAGGTACCAGTTCAGCAAACTGTTGCAATAGAATTCAGAAAGTCTATCTACCATCCAGTTTGCACAATACCTTCAGATACAATTCATTACTCTCTTAAGTAAACTCAGAAATTGGTGTTTTTCAGGATTTGGTTGTTAATAAGATTTTACTGTTTAAGGGTTGCTATTTTGGGTCGTTTTTGTACATAAACAAATTGATTTACTGTCCAGAAAGCTTTATTCTATTTGCTTAGCTGTCAATAACTGAACTGACTTCATTGTACCAGCATACACTAGAGAAGAACAGGGCTCTTATGATGCAGGAACCAACAGAAACAAAGTTTCATTATCACCAACATAGCATGAAGGCTTGGGAAGGGGTAGTCACTGTGCTCTACACAACTACTGTCTCACAAGGAAACTGCTTCATTTTAGAATGGGCCCTAAGGGTTTGTACCTGATGTGCCACAGAGGCAGATTGCGGATTCTGCTGCTCTTATGTTATCATCCTGCTTATTGACCTCCCTGACTCAGCAGTTGGAGGAGCCCAGGAAGCTGGGCTGTTGGAGGAGCCCAGGAAGGTGGTTCTCAGTTATTTTAATTTCTATGGTGAGACTGTCTCTGGAGCTCTAGCTTGGGACTTCATGGCCTGCATAGTAACCATGGGGCTGTCTCAATTTGTCATCAGCCTGGGCTTCAACCAGGTTATGGGACCAAGGCAGCCTTGGTTCCCCTCATTGACTATGTTTAATGGGAGAAGGACATGGGAGGTGCATTTCCGTTGATTTTGTTCATCAGCTTTTGATACCACGGACTCTGGCATTCTGGATCAGTTTTGTGAGCGGGCACCTGTGTGTTACAGTAGTTTTGGCCTTACCAAGCAGAGCTGATTTCAGAGAATAATCATCGGTGACTAACTACAGGCCTCTTGGGGCTTTCAGATTATCAACCTATCCCCAGTGATCTTCAATATCTAGTGCCTTGTGATATCTGAATCAGCTGAGGCTGTACAAGTATGTGGATCAGAGATTAGAGTCAGTAAGGGTTGGATGAGGGTTAATAAACTGAAGCTCATTGCCTGTCATTGCCTAAAGCATATTGAAGGATCAGGTTCATAATTTGGGGGATACTCCTTAATATATCACTCTCACTGAAAGCCCAACTGGCCATTGCAGCTTGGAGTGTTGTTTATCCCCTTTTACTAGTTCACCAGTTATGCCTGTTTTGGGACTGGGATAACATGGCCACAATGATACAAGTGATAGTAACATCATGAGTAGGTTACTGCAATGCACTATATGTGGGGCAGCCCTTTGGGCTGGTGCAGAAGGTGGAGGTAGTGCAAAATGTCACAGAATCATTAGTCTTATTGAAATAGTTCCCTTTTTCTTTCCTTACAATTTGCTCTGTGATTTTCTTGAACAGAAAGCTCCAATTTTACCCCAGAACATTGCTTCGGGCAACATGTAATGATTCTAGGAGAAAATGAGAGAGTCGTTTTACCAAATTGTCATCTGTTCTGTAGGTTCCTTGGGTATTTTAAAGCTTTGGACATTTTTGGAACTATGGTAGTAGAATAACAGTAACCTTAAATCGCAACAAATTTAACAGGAATAAATCCCTATACTGCTTTGTTAAGACTCAATAGGTGACAGTGAAGAATTAAGTTAAAACACAGCTGCTGAACATCTCAGATTTATAAACACTTGAAGCTTTTGCTTATCTGTTAAAATGTATGTAACCTGGAAATGTGTAGTGAATAATATTCCACTTTTTAAGCCATCTGAAATATTCTCCCACAAGCTGGATGTGCAGAGATAAAAGGCAAAGTCTTCTTGTCTTACTAACCTGTATCTCAATTTGTGTTCTTGATATAAGAGTTACCACTTGTAGATTAAATATTTATAGGTTGGCTTCTGTATATAATTCTTGAAATATGAAAAGTGATCCTAAGCTTAAAGGTACCATTAATATCATGGGCGAGCTGTGAAGTTGGTGAAAATGAGAGCTTTGTTGCAAACTGTGCTGCCTCAGTTGCATGGATCTTTTCCTCTTTCTGCTATTTTAATTGTTAATTTTTTGGATTTATTTTCTGATGTGAAAAAATGCAAAAAGTGTTCTAGCATTTTAAAGAAGATGTTTAAGGAAAAGGACATTCTATTGTGTAAAATAGTATGAATACTTAAGGCTGAACAAAGTTACCAGAGATATGGTTTTAACTCCTATTTTATGGGAAATTTTTCTTGCAAAGTTGGAGCAAGATGAAGGCAATATTACACAATTGCCACATAGTTCTACCAGCCACCTTTATTTAAAATATTTATTTTAATTTTATATGGTTGTTATTGAACCTCTGTTCCACAATCTCTTTCTCTAATAAGGGCTTGGTACTAATGGCTAAATTGTTCTTTTAAAAAATGGATAAGAGCAAGAATGCTAGCTACTCAAAATGTATTCATATAACTTCTCCTCTGCCAAATTCTTAAAAACATCAGCTGATCCCCCCCAATTATTGGCATGTTTTGGTTGATGGTGACCCATTCTTTTTAGTACTATTTATTTTAAAGTATCAGCTGCTTTCTGGAAAAGACTGATTTTTCTGTTCATGTGATTTACTGTTTTTTCTTTTTGCATGTCTCTAATCAAGATGTTCATAATTTAATTTTGCATTTGCACAAATGAAAATACACAGTAAGCCTTTTAGTTGTATTATATAGCTTGCGCTGCCAAATTATGCTAATTGGGTTATATTACTATTCTTTGCAAAATAACTTCATCATTTCCTAGTCTTTATTTGAGGCCCACAAAATTATTAAATAATATACATTGGTAAGGCTCTGTGATAACGCCTTCACCAAGCCTCATTGTGACTTTCTCTTTTCTTTCAGTTCTTTGGAACTCTGTTATCACCTTTGAGCTTCATGATGGAGAAGTTGGAGCGCTTCATGCCTGCTGGTCTCTGGCATCAGCTCACTCAAATGTGAATGGAGCACAGTGCTCTGAACAATGTACTCAGGAATTCTTTCTTCCATACCCTCTCTAGCACAAAAGCACTTGCAGCTAAGGGTGTAAAGGAAGGCCAACTCCATGACTGTTTCATTTTACATCCTATTACTGGTGCTTACAAGTTGCTATCTCCATTAAGCCTTAGAATCGGAATGGATTTAAGAACACACAGTTCACAATGTCTGTCTGGTGTTGGGGGAGTGTTGTGCTCATTTAAACATTAGCTGTACAACTTGAAACTACTGCATTCTCTCTAAGCAGTTCTAGAAAGCAATAAATCTGGTAGATTGTGTGCTGAAATTTCTTCTGGAATAACCACCATGTTTCAGTGTTTGGCCAAAAATCTAACCTGCAAGGCTGGAATTGTTGAAGATTTGCAGGGGGCCCACTTGTACTCTCCTGTCTCTACAGCTCTTCCTTCCTGTTGCGGACTGCTGACCTGTCTCCTTCTAACCGACTGTGCAGTCACAGGAGCAAGGAAAAGGAGAGACAGCCTTTGGTTACCTCGCCTCTTTCTCTAGGCTTAGCTGTGCAGATGGGCCCAGACCAAACCTGAATGGGTAGCAGTGGCAGCAAATGAGGAGGAGAACTTTGAGAGATGGCTCAGTGAGTGCATCTTGCTCATCACGCCACTGAAACCTAATGCTTACATTGCTAACCTGAGACCTCATTCTGAAATGTCCCTAATTATATGATCTTAGGGGTTGGTCAGCACAATCTATAACCTTGAAGGATTAACTAAATTACAGAGCAGAGAGATATGCATACCCCATGATGCTATTTCAGCCTTCAAGATAAGGCAGGATATCAATTCATCACACTTCAGACATGATCATCAAATTCTTGTGACCACTTACCTGTCTTTCAAGCCACACTTCATGGTGTTATTAGCAAGTGCACCACAGCAGCTTGTCCAGCTCCTCCTTCCTTTAAGGGATTAAATTAGCTGATGTGTGTTTTCCACATTTACCATTCATTGAGACATAAATCAGGGTTTAATAAGTGGACTTTGTCACTTGCACTTGCAACTGTTTCTGGAATTGCTTAACTACTTGTAGTGCTTGATGGAGACTGATACCTTGGGAGGAATTTCTTCTAATTGTAGCAGGCAAAACTGATGTTTGCCTTGACCTTTGATACCCAGAATCATTTATGTAGTTCAGCTTTGATCCATCTCGTGCCTTCTTCTGACTTTACGCATTTAGCTGCTATTTGGAAGCAAAATGAGAGACCTAAACTCCTGAATTGATGGCAGTGTAGCATTGGATGACGCATGTATTTCTCAAGCTCCAGTTAGAGGCATTACCAAACATTGTCTTGCTAATCTTCAGCAGCAGATGCGCAATCCCTACAGTAGAAAGAAGCATATAGATCATCTTTCACAAACAGTTCTAAGTTCAAGCTAGAGGCTGTTCTTTGGTCTTGGGGGATAACATTGTATCACTTCCTGGATGATTTTGCAAGTGTTACTTTCCCTGTTCATGCTGATTTTAAATTTTGCCTAAACTTTTGGGCTCACCCAGTTCTGAAAAGTGACATCAGCAAGCTGAAAACTGCTCATTGCTTACAAGCCCATTCTTGGCTGTAATTTTGCGCTTCTTTCCATTTGGGTGAGGGTTTATTTTCACATGGCAACTTCTTTCCCCATCACCCCATGTATATTAATTTTTGCATTCATTTATGACAATGTAGGAAAAGTGGAGCCACAAAGCTGCCTAAAACTAGGCAGCTACCAAGAGGTAACTTTCTCAAAAGTTTTCCTCCAAGTGCACATAAGCTACAGGGGCTGTTTCTCACGCTGGTATCACCCTGATGATTAATAGATATGTTGTGCTCATGCAATTTCACTTCACCATCTACAGGGGCCCATAAGGTAAGCGATATAATGCTTTTTAAAGTTGAATCTTTTCCAACATATGTGTGGGGTTATAAATGAAGCACAGCCTCCCATGTATCACTCCCTAGAGCTGGTTTCTCTCACTGTCTTCCCTTTGACATGAGTGTACTGGAGTGGGATGGACTTGTGGTAAATGTAGGACAGGCAGTGTTCTATAGTGTTTAATGCTGTCAGCATTTCTTCGCCTGTGCGGTTCTGATAAGCCAGAAGAAGTTCTGCTGTCTGCTGAAATGTTTTTGCTACGTTGAAAGTAGTAGCCCATCTAGTACCTGATCTGTATGATAGCACGGCGACATCTGTGACGTGAGGGGAAATGTGAAACAACTGGCTCAATTGAGTACTTTGCTAAAAGGCCAAAAGTCACTGTAACTAATCTATAAGTCTTTTTGATAAATGTTCCACCAAGGTCATTTTGCTTTGCATTACATTTCACATACAGCCCTATATATCTTGCAATAGTTATAGGGCCAATTTTGTGATTTTAGGCATGTTTCTACTCAGAAGCAAACTGTCATGGGTTAAATGAGAATGACGTCCAGCATGAGATTTCAGTCTGTCTTGGGAGCTCTGTTCCATACACCCACCTGGTTTGCACATCATGAATTGTCACCATGGTGGTTGCAGGGTAGCTTAACAAGATAGCTAAACTTGGTGCAGAGGTTTCTGATACACAAGCCACCTTGAGAGCCTATGGCTTCAGACTGGGTTCTTTAGGTTGGTATGTTCTTGGTGGTTTGTTTTGCTGTCCGAATACAGTAGTTGTTTTTTTCACCTTTGGGGATTTGCACAAATTTAAGAGCTGAGCAGGGCTGTCAGGAACTAGACACTCTGGAAAGTGTTTATTCACAGAGTCTTCATATGTTGGAGATGACAACAGATATTGTTGGAGGGCACATGTCTGCAGTGAGTGAGGTGACCTTTCTGGCTCTTTTTCTGACACTTCACTCTTCTCTTCCAGCCCACCTAATAGGCTGTCAAAGCAAAGATGGTTGCATTTGCCATACCTGCTATAGAGGCAAAGAGGTACCTTTGAGTGATTTTACAGGAAGTTAAAAAAAATAAGGTGGAAAAGTCAGTGTGTAAGCCTGCAGAGTCCAGATGTTTTAGCCTTTACAGGTTTTTGAGTTGCACTTGCAAAGTACTAGGTGAAACACTGGATGCCAGGATGCTGGAACAAATAAGCCTGCACTAACCAGTCTCTGTGAGAAGTAACTGAAACATCTAGCTACCAATAACACCATGTTCATCATTTTACTGTTGCCAAATTACAAGTTTGTGAAGGCATGAATAATGGGTGCTGCTAGGTCAATCTAGAAGAGGATTACTGCTGCCTTGAGAGGTGAGTATTGAAAGGCAGTCCTTTCCTGTTGGCAAGTGGGACTTCTAGCAGATTAAGGTACCCCGTGAGCATCTGAGGAGGCCTGAAAGGGGCTGTGCAGCTATTGCCATTCCCTTCTCAATGTAATACAAGATTGTCTTGCACCCATTCGTCAGTAGTTCTTGAAACAGAATATTGTGGAATATGGATGGGATTTGTGAGATCAGTTCTCCAGGTCCAGGAGCAGAAACCAAACAGGATCTGGAGGTGAACCTGGGTTGGAATCTAGTAGTTTGAGATAGGTCCAGGGAAGAACCCAGCACCAAAGTTGTTTCTAGAGCTATATTTTTCCTTAGAAAGCATATTAGTGGGTTTACAATCTGTTTAAACAAAACAAAACTATCCAGCCCATGTTTGTAAGGAATGCTAGTCTTCAGCTAGTCTCTTCATTTTGGTAGGCAATTTTACAGACTACTGGTACTGCGGGATATGAGACCAACAACAGTGGAGGGTGAAGTTATATATGTGTATATATATATATATATATAGAGAGAGAGAGAGAGAGCGCGCGCGCGCGCGCGCGCTAAGAAAGGACTCCCTGGAGAAGAGCCTAATGCTGGGAACAATAGATGGCGAAAGAAGAAGGGGACGGCAGAGAATGAGGTGGCTAGATGGAGTCACTGAAGCAGTCGGTGTGAGCTTAAGTGGACTCTGGGGGATGGTGCAGTACAGGAAGGCCTGGAGGAGTGTTGTCCATGGGGTTGCAAAGGGTCGGACATGACTTCACGACTAACAACAACAACAACAAGCTCCTGTGGTCATAGGAGTTGATGTAACAACCCATCCTGGGTTGGTACCAATTATGGATTGGCACTTGTGGAACCAGACCAGTTCCTGCAGGGTGGTTTGTTTGAGGACAGCAAGCCAACTTGACAGCCCCTAGATTGTTGTAGAGGCTGTTGTAGACATGATGAATTGTGTCATCTGAACCCAGGTGAGAAGGATCAGCTAATGATTTATTTGGCAAGAGTGGTAAGACTCCCTTGCTGCTCTAGCCAAGCTTGCCCAGGCTGGTACCAGGCCAGCCACTCCACAGCTCCAAAGTAGCACTTGGGGGTGTTGGCAGTGGCTTGCTGCCCTACCCATCTTGATTGCAAGGCACTTTTATTCACATGGGCTTTTTTTGCACTTAAACCCTTTTGGTGTTTTTGACAGCCACCACAAGACAAGCTACAAGAGAATGAAAAGGTGTGGGTGATATTTGCTTGTAAAAAGGGGGTGGTGTGATTTATTCCTCTTTCATGGCAAAAGCCTCAGGGTGGGGAGCTAACTGGACAGTCCACAGGCTGATGCACATTTTGCACTTTTCCATAGGCATTTAGGTGCTTAGGAAAGTGCAACAGCGCATTTCCCCTTTTTTCTTGGAAAGGGAACTTTAACAGCTAGCATTTCAAGCTCTGGGTCATCTTTAAAATATAATTTTGACAGGTCACTGGTTGTTTTTCAGGGACAGAGAAAAGGGGGATGCAGTGTACAAAATAATTGTGACTAGCTCAAAATGACAAATCGGTCCTGCTCTGCTGTTCCCTGCAAGATCTGTGAGATGATGTGGGGTGGGAGCTGGAGTGAATAACCTATGGTAAGCCCATTTGTTTGCTTGTTGCACCATGGGTTGTTTGGCCAACAACCAACCCACTGTGGTGGGCTGACATAGTGTGGGAACACACTGACTTCCACCATATGTTCTTGACTAGCAGGTCACCTATCATAAGGTAAACAGAAATGGGGTTAACAGTAAATCCAAAAAGGGGATCAAAGGAAGTAGGAAATAACCAAGCATGTTCAAAAATGTCAAAGGCTGCAAAAGGATGGGATTAAAAAGATGCAGGCCAAAGCTATGATTATAGCTGTAATGTATTCTGGCTGAAAGTCAAGCTGAGGGTGATGATCCTGAAAGGTGATTCCATAAATCTGTTAACAAAAGAGTCACCCAGGACTCGTTGCTTTTTATAGTTACCTTCCAAGAAACTGAAGCAAACCTGCCTGAGAACTTTATATGAAATGGAATCCTGCTTCCTCCATCACTGTGGGCTTTCTATACCAAACAAGCTCCAGTACTAAATATGCTACCGTGGAGAAGGGATTTGGTTAATATGGAGATCCTATTGTGTTCTGATGGTTACTCCTAATTCAGTGTTCTTCTCGTATGTCATTCAGCACAATGGTCAGTCCATTTCCATTTGGTTAGTGGCAATAATGTCCCTACTCCCAAGCACAGTGGCTACCAAACAAGCTATGCCAGGCAAAGCATATCTGCTAATTTATTTAGGCAGCTAGTCATTTCAATGCTCGTCCATGGAGGAGATTTGTAATACAGTTTTGCTTGAAAATTCTGTTTTATTGGATCTAATTTGAGTTAGACGGTTTTATTTATTCTTCTCTTGCATTTAGGAATTATTGCAGAGGTGCCAAGGCTTGTGGATTCGTGACTCCAAGCAAGGCTAAGTTCAAAGGTCACAGTCAAGACCATTAATAACAAGGTGCAAACGGCTGGTTTATATGTAATGTGAAGCTTTTCACTTATTTCATTTATGCACTTCGGGGGCTCTGTTTGCTTACGGAGCACTTGGTGTCTGGTACTTATTTAGGAGATTGGGTTCATGCAGGCCTTTGAAGGAATGCAGCAAATTGTTCTCCAGTGTTGTAATTCTGCATATGTGCACAACCCAAAGGTTATTCTTCACTAAGAAGCAATTGTTGGATCCATAGAATTGCAGGATAGAAGGGTACTTTGTACCTCTCTCTTGCTCTCAAATTGGTTAGCAGGACTTCAAGCTGAAGGGCTCAAATTAGGGGAGTGTGTCTGCTTCTGAGATATTTGGATAAGTTCTTTATGGTAATAAGTGAAAAATATTATTTCAAGAATACAATCAAAATAATCAATTTGTATTCTATGTTTTGCTGGTAAGGCATGGGAGCAAAAACTAGAAACAATATGTTTGTACATGTGATAACTTTCTAGGTTATATACACAGTAGATACCAGAGTGAGCTTTAGGCTTGTGCATCTTCTCCCACTATAAATAGCAACATTCTTAAATTGTAAGCTGTCTGAAAAATAATCTATCTGGCTGGATATATAAACAAAATAGTTGTTACATAAATATTCCAAACAGGCCTGTTTTGTAGGTTTTGTACGCAGGGAGAGTGCAGGAGAAGCTATGCCCACTTTGCGCTGTGCGTAGATCATTCCACTGTGCACTCAGATGTCTGTCAGTGTTGCCAGGTGATTCATTTGGAAGTCACGTTCCAGCACCTCAAAACTCGTGTGTTTAGAAGGTTTGTTCAGGAGAGAGAAGAAAGATTCCACCCATAACTTGATCCTATTTCTACTCCTCTTTTTCTCTTAGTAGTACTTTAACCCTTGCCTTAAGAAAGAAACTTGACAGAATTTAGCTGCCATGTATTCAGAGTTATCCATTCATGTAGCAGTGACTGGATATATTGGCGGCCCATTTTACAAAATATGAAGGATTTGTGGAAGATGGAAACACTCATATGGGCAGATATTCTTTCTGTAAGAGTTTCCCAGAAAAGCATCCTGATACGTTGCCACCAGAGACTAATCCTAAACTGAATACTTTAGGTGAGCCTTCCCATCTCAGGTGCCCTCCAGATGTTTTGGATTTCAGCTTCTATCAGCCTAGCATAGCCAGCAGTCAGGAATGTTGGGAGTTATAGCCCAAAACATTAGGAGGTTGCTCTAGGCTGTCCAGCTGCTTTTGGAGTTTCTAAACCTTGCTGCCAAGGAACCATCTTTTCAGTCCTGCTGTGTGAGAAAATAGCAGTAGCAGCAACTTTGGATTTATTCCCCAAAATTCAGAAAATACCAGTCTTGCAGGATCTTGTGAGATAGCTTTAACACAGAAGGGGAATAGCTTAATAATGAAGTCTTAGCACAAGTCTTAGTAAGAGGTTAGTGAAAAATTCAATAGATATAATGTATGCATTTATTTTCATCTCATTTCTATATTGTCTCACAGCTGAAGCTCACTCTCATCATTACACTAAGCATCTGAGTTTGGAAACTTACGTGCATCAATGGCATGGGGTGATATGACTGTGCCCTAAATTTTTCACTAACTGGCTGTACGAACTGGTTTCATTAAAATGACTGACTGTAACCTTTCCCCATAGAAGGTTTGCTCCAAACCTTCAGTCACTTTTGCTGCTTTTTTGAACCTTTCTCAGCTCTGCAGCTTTTTTGAAGTGTGATGACCAGAACTGGACACAGTATTGTCAAGTCTAGTTGCACCATAGACTTGTAATGTTATATAATTGTATAACATTGGCAAACTTAGTTCCATGCCTTTCCTGCTAATCCCTAATGTAGAATTTGCCTTTCCCACACCAGCTCCATGCTGGGTTAGTGTTTTCATCAAGCTGTCCACCTCAGCTCCATCTGCTCAGTTATCATCAGCTCAAACCCCATATATGTGAAGTTGGGTTATTTGCCCCAATGGGTATCACGTACACATGCACTGCTTACACTGAATTACATTCACCATTTTATTTTATGTATTTTATTTAAACATTTTCTATACTGTCTATATTTCCATAGAAAATCTTTAGACAGTTCACATCAATAAAAATCAGAACTACTTAGAGTACTTGATTTAAATAGAATTAAATCAGATATATATTAAAATCAGCAGTTAAAATACTGGTTAAATAAAAAGGTATTGGCCTGAGGCTGGAAAGAATAGGGAGTCAGTACCAACCAAAGCTCTCTGGAGAGGGTCTTCCCATTCCCATTTTGATGCCCATTGCTCCATTTTGAAGAGATTCACAACAGCTTGGAATACTTTCCCTGCCTTTGCTTTCATGCAAAACACCAGCTTTCCCCACTGCATTTATCTGGTGGCACTGCAGGACAACAGCAACCCAGGATTTCTGTAGTCAAAGTGAGAGGAGGAGAACGCCTGTTCCCCCATGCTGCTGGTGTTGCTGCACTGGGATACGCAGCATCCCATCCCTGCTTCACTGGAGTTAGAAATTACATAAAAAGCAATCCTTTTGCACACAGCTCACACAGTCTCACACATATATTTTCCCATGAAGTATGCCTGCCATGGCAGAAGTTGCTACCACATGTCCTTCCAAAAACAGTTTGTACCAAAACTAGTGCAAGCCTGAATTCTGTTATTTCTGAACAGTGGCCACACAGATTCCCGTACATGTGAGAGAATTCGTACACATCCAGCAACACAAGCCTATCTACGTACATTCCTGACAGATCCTACTTGTGCAACCTGTCTTCATTAGCAAGTGGGTGTGTGGCACCTTTCGTAGGCCCTTTATCAAATGAAAAGCACCAGTTGATGCAGAACTATGTCCTTCCAGCTGACCTGAATGAAGCACTCTCTCTTTTCCCCTTTCAGTCTCATCGGTTACACAACCAGCTGGGTGAATGCTGTATTCCCCTGCCTTGAATCATCAGGCAAAAT